GAGGGAGAGGAGAGGGGGAGGGAGGGGAAAAATGAGCAAATGATATTGAGGGCTAAAGTAGAGGGCAAATTTTTTGAGATTGATGAGGGCAACAGGTGTACATATGTGCTTGACTCAATGGATGTATGTATGGACTGTGATAAGAATTGTATGAGCCCTCAATAAAATAAAATAAAGAAGTAAAAAAAAAAGTCAAAGCCTCAGAAAACCAAAGGGACAGTGATATTAACAATTGGAATCCATTCAGTGACGGTGTTAGAGTTCGGATTAGGGTTTTGGTGGTGGTTGGTGGTAGTGTTTTTTGGTTACTCCTCTTTAACTCCTTTTCCCCAGTCTAAACTTCATCCTCTCCCACCACCAAGATCATGTTCTTAAATATCTCTGCTCTTCCTGCTTTAAAGTTATTATTATAAACTTTGGGTACTTATTGTCAATTTACAATTTTTTCCTATTGCTTATAGCGGTTTCCTCAAGACCGATTCAACCATTTCCACTAGTTTAAAACCATCTGCAGCCATACTTGTTGCTCCTTCAGTTTTCATTCCAAAGGACAAAGTCTTCAGTCATGGTCTCCACTTCCTTACCTGCTATTCAGGTTTCTCCCCACCTTTCCCCACTGAACCTGCCAAGCATCGATCTGATCCCTCAACACCAATCCCTCATCTACCAAAACACGAGGCATTTTGAGTTCTCATTTGTGGCAGTTACATAATCTGTCCATTTGTGAAGGGGTGGAGTCTCAACTGTCAATCAGGTCACAGCCAGTGAGGCCACTGTGTGGGCATGGCCTTCTGAGGATTCTGGGAACTCCTGTTTTCCTCTCAAGGTGGGAAATACTCTGCTACACATTCCTGTTGACAAACCACATGGAGCTAAGCTGACAGAGCCACATAGAGACCCACACAAGTGCCGAGATGCTTTCACCGCCACTGGATCCACAAGACTTCCAACCAACTGGCCTGTGATTTTCCATTGCATGTGTTGCGTGAGTCTAAAGAGGAATTTATTGACTGATTTCAGACATCGGACTAATATCGGACTTACAGACTTGATCGGGACTGGGCTGGGATTTTTTCTTAATATACAATTACTCTATAATTATATAAAGCTCTTGTATATCCATAGGAATGTCTCCCTAGATTTGTTTCTCTAGTCTACCCAGACTAACACATCATTAATTCTCCCTCTTTAGTATCTGGCGCTGTATTACATGTTTTGTTTTGTTTTGAATGTCTCTCTTCTCCTGTTTTCTAATACAGAATATATGCTATCCCTCTGAATACCGAGTCACCCAGTCCTTAAACAATGGTGCTCCTTAAGGCTTCGCCCTCTGCTCCTTCCTCTCCAGCTATTCAGCTTGAGTCTTTTCACTAATACAGCTTTAAACCATCACCTCAACACAAGACAACTCACAAAAGTGGTTCTGCCCAGACATCTTCCCTTGGAAAACATGTATGGATCCAAAAACCTACACATTTCTAACTAGTCACCCTAAACCCTTTAAGGTGCACCCCTCAGACTCTGGTAGTACTAAAGAAGGTGCTTCGGTATAGGGAGAGCGTGGATGCAGTTATTCCAGTAATGTAATGTGGGAGTCTGCACATCCCTCAGCCCATGGCCTGCACCATCCACTGTCTTCAAGCTTCCCATTCCCGGATGTTCCCTGGCCTATTGTCTTGCCTGAGTTTTTTTAATTGCTTGACCTTTGTGATGATTGGTGCTCGGTGGCAGGCAGCCGCCATGCTCATTGGACACCTCCACCAGGCATCCAAGTGCACCTCATTTGCATGCGGACCTGTTTGAGGATTGATGCCTGCCATTTCTTCCATATCTGGTAGCTGCGTGATGATTGGATACTACCTGTTACACTTTATTAGCATATGACGTAATGTTACCGGCCCACCATTGGGTATTTAAGCCTCTGCCTTCTGCTCAATAAACGAGGGCTTGATCAGACTCCTGTCTTGCCTCCATTTCTCGCGTCTCTTGCCCCTCTTCATTCCCAGTCCCTTTTTCAGGTATCCACGTTGTTTGATGACCTGCGGGACGGGTCAATGCTACCATGTAATGTGTCTGACTACATTATTGTAATATCTCTCATGCTCTCGATGACTTTAATATTTATGTATCTCAACTGTACAATTGTGTATTACTGAACCCGCGACTAACGGTGGGGGCTGGCCCCCAACCCCCCACCTCCTCGCCAATTTAATACTACAGATTTACAGTTTCAGAAACTCTTAAAGTTTCTACTTGGTCCTATAATAAGGTGACCAGACGTCCCGCTTTTGGCGGGGCAGTCCCAATTTTAAACAATTCTTCCCGCATCCTGGGGCACTTTAAAAAAGTCCCGATTTTTGGAAAGAATGCACGACAAGCTAGGGTATATGGTTTTCGGCTGCCATGTGGCTATTTCGCCACGATATGAGTTTTATCAATGGTGTTCCGCTTTACCAATGTTAAAATCTGGTCACCTTATAAAGGTCACTGAGACAGACTAGATGGTAGTGAGTTTGGGGTTTTTTATAAACATAAAAAATTAAAATCATAACCATTAATGATTATGCTCTCAGATTTGTTTTAAAATGACTTTCCTT